GTGTGTGTGTGTGTGTGTGTGTGTGTGTGTGTGTGTGTGTGTGTGTGTGTGTGTGTGTGTGTGTTGTTGATGGAGTGTTAGAGATCAGAGGAACAGTGGCAGGAAGGGATAGAAGGGGTGGGGCAGTGCATACTATTTTCCTTTTCATAACAATTTTATTCATTAGCCTTGCTAATTAATTCAATGCCTCACTTCTACCTTTTTTCACTGTTTCATTTCCAAAGCTTCTTTTGTCTTAACCTTTTATTTCCCTTTTTGTCAATTGAACCTGTGATTTATTTAATGCTTTTATGTCCAACACACTGTGGAGGCTCTGCTTTTTAGTGGATGATATGTACAAAACTAAACTGACTTGGTTAGCATAAAACCTGCAAGTCTCACCAATGCTGTATCTGTGAGCACATTATTATGGTTTTATTTAATTATTTAAACTAATCCTACAATGTATTTTGCACTATTTGTTTGGATAAACTCATTTACTGAGTAGAAGCAAAGCGACATTGACTTTGTGTAAATGAATACACTCACAGGCCACTTTATTAGAAACACCTGTCCAACTGCTCATTAACATAAATGTTGAATCAGCCAATCACATGGCAGCAACCCAATGCATTTAGGCATGTAGACATGGCCAAGATGACCTGCTGCAATTCAAACCGAGCATCAGAATAAGGCTGCCACGATTAATCGACGACTAATCGATTATTAAAATAGTCAATGACTAATTTAATAATTGATTAATCGTTTTCTTTTTTTTGTTCTTTACTTTGTTTTTCTCTCCAAACTGCTTTGACACCTTCCACTGCCACATCTGCCTTTCTGTCCTTGACACACATGCACAGTAGTGGTAACTGGCGTAGGCCGTGGACGTCACAAGACATACAGACAGGCTCTGGTATCATGGCTACCCAGCAACGGAGCTCAAAAGTGTGGGATCWKTTYAAGAAAATGAAAGAGAAACCTGTGCAATATCTGCAGAGCAGAACCTTCCACAGCAATTATTTTTAGTTAGCATATAGCTAAAATCCAACGATGGTTATATAATAGCAGCTGCTTTCCAACGTGATAAGCTTTATGTTTTATATTCAATTAACGTATGATCCGATTAGTCGACTAATCGAATAAATAATCTTTGATTAATCAATTATTAAAATAATCGTTTGTGGCAGCCCTACATCAGAATGAGGAAGAAAGGTGATTTAAGTGACGTTGAACGTGGCATGGTTGTTGGTGCCAGAMGGGCTGGTCTGAGTATTTCACAAACTGCTGACTACTGGGATTTTCACCCACAACCATCTCTAGGGTTTACACAGGATGGTTTAAAAAAGAGAAAATATCCAGTGAGCAGCAGTTCTGTAGGTAAAAATGCCTTGTTGATGCCAGAGGTCAGAGGAGAATGGCCAGACTGGTTCAAACTGATAGAACGACAACAGTAACTCAAAAACACTCATTACAATCGAGGAATGCAGAAGAGCATCTCTGAACACACAACATGCCGAACCTTGAGGTGGATGGGCTACAGCAGCAGAAGACCACACCTGGTGCCACTCCTGTCAGCTAAGAACAGGAAACCGAGATTACAATTCACACAGACTCACCAAAACTGAACAGTAGAAGATTGGAAAAACATTGCCTAGTCTGATGAGTCTTGATTTCTGCTGCAACATTCGAATGGCAGGGTCAGAATGTGGCATCAACAGCATGAAAGCATGGGTCCATCCTGCCTTGTATCAATGGTTGAGGCTGGTGGTGGGTCAGTGGTGTGGGGGATATTTTCCTGGCACACTTTGGGTCCATTAGTACCAACTGAGCACTGTGTCAACGCCACAGCCTACCTGAGTATTGTTGCTGACCATGTCCATCCCTTTATGACCACAGTGTACCATCTTCTGACCATGTACATCCCTTTATGACCAC